CCCCCCCCCCCCCCCCCCCAAAAAAAAAGACAGAAACTTCCAAAACTAGGTACAACTCGGGTTTTTTATGGAAAACATTGTATAGTTGGTTTGAAGCACTCCATTTGCCCCACAAAGGTATGCTTTTATGTAATCACAAAGGAAATATTAAATAGTTAGAGGTGCTTGTGGACTTTGGATTTAGTTGGTTGAGTCGGCTTATGTGTTTCTGCCCTCTTCCTTCTTTGCTAGTACTTTGTTAGTGTATTGTAGTTTGTTTGACCGTACTTCGTTTCTAATAGGGGTAAGGTCTGCGTATACTTACCCCCAGACCCTACTTTTTGTGGTATTCTACCGGGTTGTTGTTGTTGTTGTTCCATGAATTCAATATTGGCCTTGCCATGTCAATCATGAAATGGACACGGCAAAAGAAAATTATCTAGCTCATCACCATATAAAGAAATTTTCCATTCATGTGGACATAACCTGTCCTATTATGAGAGTTTTCAAATTTTCATCAAGATCCCTTCTTACAAAGGTTCCTACTTACAAGTTACAACCGAGCATCAGGTATAAAATAGTAACAATATGCTTTACCAAGGGGGTTTGGTCCGAGTAGCAAACGGCTCAGTATCGCTCAAGGAAGGCCTCAAGTTCAAGTCTTAGTGTCACTCACCCACCAAAGCCAGTGTCCTTGGGAGACTCACCCACCAAAGCCAGATGTGAGACCCAGGTCGTATCCGGTTGTAGGCAAAGCTCCCATGAATGGCAACCAAAACAAAAAAAAAGTAGGCACTGCAAACTTAATCCCGTTGATCCCAACTACTTGGGATCAAGGTGCTGCCGATGGTGATTTTTTACTTTAAATATTTGTTAAGTTAATTAATGTATTACCTGTCTTGAAACTCAAGAAATAAAAATTCAAATTGGGGAAGGACAAAATATGGGACATAGAAACTAAACTAATTTTGTGGAAAGGACAAAAACAGGGATGCAAGCTCATCTTTGTGGGACAACTGGAGTAAATTCTAGTGGTGCCAAAGAACTAATCACAACAAGAAAAATAAACTACTAACATTGGGTTAGCTTGGAGATTAAGAAGTCCAAATTAATGGAGTAAATTTTAAATTTATTGACATGTTCATATTTTATTGCACCCCGAAATGTTCATATTTTATTGCACCCCACCTTAGAAAACACATTACAAGACACTCACTGTA